TTTTAGAGAGGTTCACGAAAACTATTTTATAGAAATTTAATAGTCTTGAAGAATTTTATCAAAAACTAAAAGGTATTTTATTAGTGATTGTTTTATGTTTCTGACTTTATATTGATTAAATTTTCATTAATTATTGTTTTATTTATATATAATAAATAATAAATAAAATGTATAAATTGTCTTTAACACTTACTTCGATCAATCCCGCCTATATAATTATTGAATAATTGATAAACATTCGTTTTGCATGCTTCATAGATCTTGACTAACGCTTACTTCGATCAATCCCGCCTATATAATTATTGATAAACATTCGTTTTGCAAGTTTCATAGGTCTTGACTGACACTTACTTTGATCAAATCCGTCTATATAATTATTGAATAATTGATAATAATAAAACGTTTGTTACATATATTTTACAGACGGCTTTGTAGATCTGGACTTTGACACTTACTTCGATCAAACTCGCCTATAATAATAAAACGTCCATTTTGGAAAACTTGATTTGCAAGTAGAACTTGACTTTAGCACTTACTTCGATCAAGCCTGTCTATATAATTATTTGAATAATTGATAAAGCACTCATTAAATATATTTTTACAAACAGCTTCATAGATCTTGATTTTAGCACTTACTTGGATACAAAGCTATTCAATAATTGATGAAACATTCATTTGCAAAATTTAATAATTGATAAGCATTCATCAGTATATTTTACAAACTTGCTTTGGAAGCTTCGTATGGTGCAGGACACCTAGTCCCTACAACTTTCTGCGCCACGGCGACAGATTTGAGAAAAAATTCCCAATCAAAAATGCATAAAATTTTTACAGTCACGTGTTTTATGAAGATTGTCAAAAATAAATTTTAATTATATGTATATAGATCAAAGATAATAAGTTTATATTAGATAATTAATCTGTTTTTTAAAGTATGTAACAATCATACCTTTGTGATGTTCTGCAGAGGGCGAAGCTCTCTGCAGGCCCTCCGCAGGAGTGTTCGCTTCCTCACGTGAGGAAGAAAAAAAAAAAAAAAAAAAAAAAAAAAAGAGCAATTCATATAAAATTTATATTAAAGACCATGCTATCAA